GGGGGAAGGGGGAAAAGGGAAGGTGTAGGGGTGTGTGTGTGTGTGAGTGTGTGAATGTGGGTGAATTTGGGTGTATGTGTATGTGTGTGTAGGTGTTCATGTGCATGTGTAGTCCAATGTAGTTGTTTGAAGAATAATGAAGAGTCGAGGTTTCCTTACATAGCTGACAAAAGCAGAATAGCCCCGCTCGCATGTGCTCGCGCCCTAGCCCTCTCTTCTCCGTCTCCGCAGGCTACATCAACGAAAGCAACCCCAAGACGGGCTACTTCTTCTCGAGCGTGTTCATGCTGGCGGGCGCGACCTGCCTCTTCCTGCTGAACTACTTCAAGGAGAAGATGGCCAAGCACGACACCAGCGTCTCCTTCACAACCGTCGACTCGCACGTCCCTCACGAGCCGTACGCGCTGCCCCTGGAGAACGGGGGCGGCGGTGGGGGAGGGGGCGGCGGTGGGGGAGGGGGTGGAGGAGGAGGAGGGGGTGGAGGGGGAGGAGGCGGAGGTCCGGTCGGGCCCCCGCCGAAGACCACCGTGATTCCGCCGCAGATCAAGGGGCCTGTGTGCACGTGCGGCGCCGACCCGGGCGCGCCGCCCCCTCCGCAGGGCGTGGCGCACGACCCGGCGCAGGCGCAGGCGTTCAACAAGCTGGGCAAGACCATCTCGTTCGCCACGTCGGTGGACATCATGGAGCCGCGCCTCAAGCCCGAGCTGCTGACGTGCATCTCGGAGGAGGGGCTCCTCGACCACTACTACGACTACGTGGGCGACTGCGTGACGTCATGCAACAAGTTCGACAACTTCCTCGCCTTCAACGACTTCGAGGACGGCGTCGACTTCGCGGACGCCGAGGACGAGGAGGACGAGCCCGAGGAGCCGCCGCAGCAGCGCCCGACGCCCGTCCACGCGGCCGGCCGGCGCCTGCGCCAGGCCAGCGGCGTCAGCTTCAGCGAGCCCGAGGGCCTGGCGAGGCTCGGCCAGAGCAGCGGCAGCGCCTGCTCCCTGGGGGGCATCGGGAACGGGGGCGGAGGGGGCGGGGGAGGGGGCGGAGGAGGCGGGGGCGGGGCGCGCCGCCCGCACCCAGGCCAAGAGTACAACGTGCCGCCCGTGCCTCGCCCGCCCATCCTCCGCCGGGCGCCTTCGTCGCGCCCCCGCCGCTCCATCACCGTCATAGAGGAGATGACGACGTCCGTGTAGCCTCGGGCGCCCGTCACGGCGCGCTCCAGTCTCACTCTTCCCACTCACCCTCACTACCCCGAGCCGCCCGCCTCCTGCGGCGCCGCCTGCCCCGCCGCCCGCTGCCGCTGCCACCACGTGGAGCTGCACCCGCCGCCGCAGGCCTTCCACCACCACCGCCCGCAGCCGCAGCCGCAGTCCCACCGCCAGCCCCAGCCTTGCCGCCACGTCCACTGGCAGCCGACGGGGGTGCGGACGCCGGCCGAGAAGCGGCGGCGCGTCGACGACTGCCCCCGCGGGCACGTCCAGTACGAGGAGCACCAGCTGTAAGCAGGGACGACCTGCGGGCGTCCCTCTTGGCGTTCCTCGGCGGATGAAGGGGTAAAAAGACTCGAAAGGGTCTTCTATTCTCTCTCGCTCCTCCCACTCTCTCTCAAATCTTACTCCAAGCTTACCACTCAGTCCTTTGCCGTGACAGGGCCGTTGCAACCACGCGACCTGCCTCACCCAGGTCAAGACACACCAGTCAGGGACCGTCGCCTCCTTGGCCCAGCTCAGCTCTGGGCCTCGTGACGCGACAACCACCAAGAAATACGACACCTATAAAATTGATCAAGAATCAGACAACGCAAAGCGAGAGAGGTTTTGGAAATTAAAAAGAAAGGGTGCTGAAAGGGAGTCATCTGTATGAGGAAAGTGAGTGAAGGGAAGAAACGCCAAAAAAAAAAAAAAATGATAAGCAATATGAGGAATATAATAAGGCAAATGAGATTTTTTTTTTTTTTCTCATCAAGTTTTTTTCTGATTCTGTCTTGTAAGCATCTCATGTCTTCAAGAACCTAAATGTTTGGTACAAAGATGTGGATAAAAGGAATAAAGGCAATTCAGAGGAAGAGAAAATGAAATTTGTGAAAAAAAAACGGAAGGAAAAGATAGAGGAAAACGTGACGAATGAACTGAAACCCATACGAAAAAAATATGATAAAAATAATTAATTTAAAAACAGAAAATGACTGAAGAACTGCGATATTTATGTGTATTCTTAGTCGTGTCTTTTGAGGTCAGTAGATATTTCTGTCAAGATATTTCCATAGTGATTTTCATATGTATAGAACGAAAAAAAAGAATATACAGACATCGTTTCTGTTAATACACGTATGATTTTAAGGTTTTAAAAATCCATTATAAGTGCAATACTCATTATGATATACGAAAACCTAAGTCATTTAATGCTTAAGAACTTCCATATGTGTACATATTGGCAGTTGTAAGTGTACATGTAACACTTTGGTTGGGTATGTGCATAAGTGTACAATACAGAATCGCTCATT